TTATTCATAAAATAAAAAAACTTTAAAACTTTACCAATAAATATGGACTTTTTTCGTTAGAAAGTTTATTTAATTTAGTAGACATCGTCTTAACAATAATCTTGTTATAATAATAAGTATTATTAAAATATTCTTTAATAAGATTATTTTTATTCTTGGTATTAAAATTAAGAAACGATTTTTTTATTAAATTCTTGAACATAAAAAAAGTTTATTATTTATTAATTAATATTAATATTATTAATAATACAATGACGGCCAAATTTTCAAGGCGGTGATCGAATCTCTTTCAGACCCTATTTCAAATATTTCAAATTCTGACGCGACTTATTTATTATTATTAATGGCATATAGTAGTTGTACGAAGCACCTATTTTTTTTTTCCGAAGCGCGAATCTTTTTTTAGACAGAGAGGTTATTTTATTAGTATTAGGGTCACTAGAAAATTTATTTAAAATGGAAAAGGACACAATTTAGCCCTTGCCTATTTTTCTATTTTGAAATTTTTTGCTTTACCCATAATTTCATACGACATAAAAATTGCTTTACCTGATTTCATAATAAAAATTTTCTGCTAATCTACCAGCATGACACCTTCAGTAACATATCTTTTTACTTACTATATATCATGAATAATATAAATGATAAAGAATTAGTTAAGAAAAATGTAAAGAAATCATTGATGAATTAAATGAGTTTTGGTTTAAAAAGTATAAAGTTAAGCCTTCAGAAATGTTAGCTAGATTTCAGTGATACATGCAGAATGGTTTACCAATGGAAATTATTTTACTATTGAAGAGATAGGGAAAAATCAAGGCAAGAGTGATTTTCCTAAGGAAATTTAACTAATATTGCTAATATTGACACTCAGCAAGAATTAAGATGGTTGGAAATCTAACCAAAATATAATAATACTAATTATCAAAGATTTTGATGATTATCATGGAAGTTTAAAAAACTGAGAAGTATGAGAAGGTCAAATTAAATATGAAACAATATGATTAAAAAGTTGCCAAGAAAGGCATTAGAAAAACTTTGGGAAAAGGTTAAAAAAGAAAGAACACCAACCAGTTTGAATTAAGTAACATTTGGCAAGAAAGCAATTTTATCAACAAAATAACTTGCCAGTTGAGATAAATATGATAATGGTGGCCACTGCCTATACTAATTCTCCACGGCAAAGAATTTAACTTAAGAAGGCAAGGAAAAAATCAAGAGTTTAAAAAACATTGCCAGATTTTAAGGATATATAAAAGATTCAGAAGAAAAAGAAAATATATAGCCAACACTCAGTTGGTTTTAAATGCTAAAATGACCGGTATACAAGAGTTAAAGGAAAAAATAGATATATGGAATATCAGCCAAAGGAATTCAAGAAAATTGAGAATCATATTTAGCTACTAAGCCTAACAGTGTAATGAAATTCGAACAGTTCTTTTGGGCGTGTAACATTAAACGAAATCTGTGCACCCAAATTTGCACATTTTAATTATTATTATTATTATTATTATTATTATTATTATTATACTAATACCTTATAACGGCTTGTCGGCTATTGTTATAAAAACTTTTTCTGAAGGTATCACTTCCTAATACGAAAATGATCTGTGAATAAAAATTCGGTTGTTGTCCTTGTTGTTCTCGTAAAATCATCCTTAAAAGTTGGTCGATTGACTATTTTTACTTTTCAGATCGTTAAATCGGCCAATAAGAATGCAATATCGCGAACAAAAATTATCATTAAAGAATACTTTGACCGTTTAAGAGATAATAATAATAATAATAATAATATATAACGAAATTCCGCGCATACTAATACTCCGCATGTGTTTTCACACTTTTTTGTATCAAAATTTTTATGGAGAAAAGAACTATTAATATTAATTAATATTAATATTAATTATATATTAATATATTATTTATTATACGAATTTTTTTTGTCACTAATTTTTTAGTTACACGCCCCAAAAGATCTGTTCGAATTTCCACGACATTCACATTTTATGAAATGGAAATGTTTTAATTTGTAAAAAAAGAGGAAAAATAAGTAATTTAATGAAGTAAAATT